TTACTTTATATTACGCCTATGTTGGCCTCTTTAAGTTTACATTTTATTTTTTTTCGTCTTAGTACTAAAGGTATCGTTAAGCTTTTTAAGTCAATATGTTACATTTTTATTTTTTACAATTATTAGACTACATTAACCTTATATATGATGTTCACGTTACTTAAAAATCATATATTTATTTTATTATTAAAAACAATTTAATGAAAATTCTCAAAAGGTTCAATTTATTTCGGTTAAGTTACACTGACTTTTACTATTTTGTTATTATTATTTTTATAAAATATTTTTATATTTTATAAATTATTTTTATATTTTACTTTGATATTAAGTAAAATCCAAATTTTTAAAAATTATAGCCTCAGATTTAACACAGAATATAAATACTTTTATATGTTTATTTCTTGAATAGAGGTATTTTCTTTTTATATTTTTAAATATATATATATATATATATATATAATAAAAATAGTAGCTTATTCCTTACAACAAAAAAGTATTAAATTAGGTATGCAACTTGAAAATTAATACTAATTGTTACTATTTATCATTTTTTTGGCAAACCTAGCTTTGTGATTTGATATTATAGTAAGTGATGGTGTCATTGATTATTAAGTTGACAAAAAAAAAAGTAAGTGATGGTGTCATTTATTATTTTTGACAGACCAATTAAACACGTGAACCAGAAACATGTAAAAAACGCAAAATTGTACTCCAACACTACTCTTGCTTCTAACCTCACTCTTCGATTCTTTAATATATTTATCTAGTTTTCCACTGCAATCTTTATCCCGGGTGATCTTTATCAGCTCTTTTTGAAACAAAGATCAGCAAGTCTAGCCAACTCCATGCTCTTGCACCTGCGTAGTTATTAGGGAGCCATCAATCATCATGCTCCAGCATTGACAATTAGAAGGATACTCTTTTCCCTAATCAATAGTCTTAGTTCAGTGTGAGGTTTGCTTCTCTCATTGGTTCGATAGTCGGGTTATGATCTGGTTGAGCACAACACCGAATCTGTAGAGAGCCCTCTTTAACAGTAGATGGCCTGTTTGCACGTATAAGGAGCTGCAAAACCATGTGTTCCAAATTTATATATTCTAAACGAAGATAAATCTGAAAAAGAAGAAATATTAAACGATTCATCATTTTTTTTTGGAACGCTTCATCATCTAAACCTATGTACACCACAACAACCCTAACTGAATGTGTAGCAGTAAAACTAATGGCACAATTAACCCAAGGTAAAGAATTATTAAATACTTACTGCAGTTGTGAATTGAGTATTGTCTCCCTCAGGTCCTTCTCCTGGAAGTTGTGTGTCGGTGTTGGCTAGGCCAAGTAGGGAATCAAGATCACGGAACCAGAAACGCTCTTCAAGAATTGGAGAAACCGGTTTGGTTAATGCATCAAAGTTTGTTAAGTCATTGAACCAAATCGTAAGAAGAGAGTCGAAAGTCTGTAGTTCTGATTGCATC